ATGGCATAGAATGATGTTTTCATCGTTTCCTATTATACCCCTATACTGGGGAAGTTGTATCAAGCGGTCATGTATTATGCATTTCTCCGCCATCCCCCGGATGATCGCTTAAAACTGGTTGGAATGTTTTAGTAAATACAAAAATAGTGGATAGCGTTGAAGGCGCGCTTCGATTATCCTTTGTTATTAATTAAAATTTCAACTCTAAATGTTGTATTTTCTAATGTCCTGATTGGTTCACCTTACTCCGGTTATCAGCACATATTCAGAGTCACATTACATGGAAATGCATTACGCCAACTTTGCGGAGTTAAAAAAAACTCCATTTATGAAACGGTTCGGGATCATCACCTGATATTGAAAATTAATGACCGGACGCGCATGGTAACGTACGTTAGCTACTTGAAAATATCTCTTTGTCGGCAGTGAAAGGGAATTTTGCGGTCGCGTCGCATTACAGAGGCGTCTGTGCGTGTCATTAGAATTTCGGCCCGCGTTAGACTAAATGTAGCTATTTACTGGTCAGCCAATGTAATATTGATTATCTGAAAGTGTAAATAAAGAAGTGTGTGAAAAAAGTGTGTCAATGAGAACAGATGTAAGATTAAGGACTCTGTGTTAATCATGATACAGAAGTAAGAGGGAAATTTTCATACCTTCTGCAGGTCTTCATATTTAAGGAACAGAACGTTCGGATCATGTCTGTGCTTCCACCATCCAAGAACATGATCACTCCATTTGTTGTAAACTGCTGATTAAAGGGAATTTATTCCCCTGATAAGCACTCAAGCTGAACGGCAAAACAAATGTTTTAAACGTTCTGGCAATACTGAACATAGTTCCAGCGAGGAGCAAAGGATTTCGTTAACTACCTGATTCACGGAATAACTAATATTAATTAAGGAAAAGAAGAGGAAAATAAAAAAGTTTATCAAACTGATAGCCTGCAGTGCTGGCTTATTGTTTGGGCGAGTTACCGTTAAGAATCTCGTGATTTTATATTTAACCGGCAATGTTTGATTCTGGAAGTAAAGGCGGCGATAGGGGTGAGGAGGCTGTGAAAGGTCTACCATGACCAAGGTTCTCCTCTGTGGTCGAAATAAACACAATTTGAAAACATTTCATGTACTTACTTTTACCCTCGATAAATAGTTTCGCATAAAATTCCCATGGTGCATTCATTCCGTTTGTGCCAAAGCTACCCATAAATTTGTAGCTTGAGACTGCAGCATCCTTGGGGTTGCGAGCGACGTAGATATATTTACAGGTTGTCTTGGCCTCGTCTGTACTCTTAGGAATCGCATCATAAGACAGGTGGCTCTTAAACAGACGAGGGCTCGGCATACTTTTAATATCAAGATGAGTTGATTCTGGTAATAAAGCTTTTTCTATGTACAAGATGCGATCTCCAAGAACTTTATGACTGATTTCACCATCGTGGTAAATCTGCCAGACAATTTCTTGAACCCAAGTGGTCCCTTAAATTAAAAAATACATCGAGACAATTGTGTCGCCAGCAACGTCGGGTTTAAGATTATTCACAAAAGCTCTGGGCAATATTCGTTTAGAATCCCATACTTCATTGCGTACGCAATGCTTGGATAAATGAAAACAAAGGCAAAAGCGATAAGATACTTTTGAGAATGCAGCTCAGCAAGAATAGTATGGGATTATTCGGAAATCTTTCCAAGCTCCGAGTCATACACTATTAAAAATTAGCTCACCTGACTTAGGGTAACTGACAATAAATACATCATCAGGTTTCGTCTGAAAATTAGTGATGAAGTCGCACAGCAACTCAGGACCTTGAGAGCCATACACAAAAAACGCTGGAATTCTAAAGCCTAAGATTTCAATCATTTCATTGGAGGTCCATTCCCCCTCACGTTCCTGAATGATCGGGTAAGACGCCATACTGTTCAGGAATTACGCCGAAACTGAGCTTCGAAAAATTTCGAAACGCGAAGGTGTCATTTGTTCGACACTTCAGAAAAATTTTCGTTATAACATCGCACTTCATTATGCATGCAGTTCTTTAATGAAAAACGATGGCTCCCCACATAGAGTAAGGTATTGTTTTAGAAAAGGCAGTATTCTTCCTTTAACTAAGTGCAGGTGGGGTCGCTAGTTTTATTAATGAGCCACGCGAACATTCAAAATCCATCGAAGCAAATTTTATACGTTGTAGAATTTAAGGAAGACGCTTGATTAGTGTGCTGATTCGCAATAACATTTACGCTATTTTATTTATTTATTCATTTGCCACCAAACATCACCTGTAATTTAAAGGGAGGCTATCAAAATTACTGAAGGATTGAAATATTTCACTTATTTACATATCTGACAACAACTAAAGTCTGAACGGGGATAGGAAGAAGGTAGATGCTTATAGAATTTGGGTCTCTCAGACGAGAAATCATCTTATTAAGATAAGCACTAGTCTGTATTGCACTTGTGATGAACTCATATGAAACTGATTACAAAAATAAATTAATCACAACGAATTATGTCGCGCGCTTTTGAAAGAGTGTCCACGAGGGAAACATTTGGAGCCTGAAATTTAACCGCAATTACTTCACAGCACATGCGAATAATAAACAAACTGGGCTGCTAATAGCTAAATTGTTCTGAGATTTTTTAAAATTTTAGTAAGAATTGAGTAATGCAACGTGGGTCTATTAAATGACTATGGATTATCCAGAGACGCATCTTAGAAATACGTCATTTCTTTTTCTTAATTATTCAGTATTCTACTTAATGGTCAGAAAATTTTCGTGACAGACGCGCGATTCATGTGGGCGCGAGTGATTTTATGTTGTTTGTTCTCGTCAGAATTGCATACTTACATCACTATCAGTAACTGCTCTCATTATCATTTTACCTATTTTCTCGTAAGAGAGAACGCGCTGCGTGATAAGACCAAACAACGGCAGCGAAGGAGACTAAACTGATAGCGTGATAGCGTGATAGTCCCAAAGGTAAACGGTTGTTGACGCCATAGGTTTTTTTTAGCAATGAAGATGTCATCCGGTCTTGTCCAGAGGTTCTTGATGAAGTCACTTAGTAGCTGAGGATCAGATGTGAAATACGCTGGAATTTTCAAGCCCAAAACTTTACGGAAGTTTCCTGTCGTCCAGTCACCTTCCCTTACTTCAGTGACTTCAGAACTCGTCATGATCAGCAGAGCGCACGGCAATGATAACGGGTCACGTACCATGAATCAGTGCTGCACATCGTTCTGTCTAACAGCCAATACAAGACGACCGCTGACGTATATTGTGACACAGAGAGCGAGGGCGCAAAACTAATTTTGGTGTGTTCATGTTCATTTGTTTGTTTGTTTTCTTTTTTTAGGATTATTATCACAAATGAACGAAATAATCCATATTTTTCCCTGTGGAAGACAATGAAAACGAAATGATCGTCATCATGGAGCTTCAAGAAATTGCAGCAAAAAATTTGCCTCGTGCCCAACATAAGGCTTGCTAACTTGGTAATAGCGCCAACTTGTAACAGGTGGGCACGAGTTGCATCACCGTCGAAGTGTGTTCGAAGGCTGATATTTTAAGGCTTCTTTCCTTGCAATCTCTTACCAGTTAGAATAACTTTGTCATTTAAAATCATACGCAGGTCGCTGAAAATCTGATTTATTTCGGCAATTGGTAACTTCTATTCAAAATCATTGTACGAGTGTTGGAAACAAGGCAACAATAGCTGGCTTCAAATTCAAAATATCCGCAACGAATTCAACAATCAATAAGACAGACGCAACGCAATAAAATCAGTGACACATTTACCTGCGGTCAGCTGTGCAGCACTCTTTTATTCAGTTACACGGTTTGATATCATCTTTGATCAATAACACATCACACAGGGCACTATGGAACCTACGTGTTAAATGAAAGAAACGTCCTAAGAAAAAAAAACACTTATTGTCCGGTAGAGATCCAAGCTGCCTCTCGTCCATTGTATTTTTTTGGTCATTCAGCCTTTCCTTCTCCTTTTTGCAGTTACATCTAATGTCTGGATGTAATCCTTATTGATTGAAATCCCGGGCTTAAAGTGAGTTTTCGTGCGATACTAGGATTTAAAAGACTGATACCAAGTCACGTGACCTTAGGGAGTAAACATATTTTTATTTCCTTCTTTGTCTCAGTCGTTAAATTTACGTAGCGTCTTCACAACCGAACATCCACTACGAAGAGATTACCTATGAAAATCCAATTATAACTCAAAATCAAACTCCAATCCAGTTCCTTCTATTGTTGACAACACCTCCTTCTCAAATCTCTCATTCAACTCTGGAGTAAAATAATTCTTCCAGTCTCCGACCACGCCCTTCCGAAGAATCGAGGTTTGGCCTTCATTGAAGCGCACCGTGTACCTCGATAAATCTTTTGTCATCCCATTGAAACTGCACTGTTCAGCAATACGATTAATGATATCCTCCGAGAGCGGCTTGTTAAGGAAGTTGGCAGTCAATCGAACTCGTGAAGGTAGATCCTGAATAAAATATACATTATGATTTAAAATCTGTTCTCAGGGCTGTTTATTACACCTTTTGCTGTTCATTTACGCAAAATGTACATTCATTTACGTCAACAGTTGAAACTATACGGCAAGTATACATTCATTAGCACTTCCATGAACTTCATTAACGCGAACGAACTTTCAACAACGCTATTTGCAAATGTATTAACATTCAATAGCATCAACGGATGAACAATTGCACCTTTGGACAATCAAACATAACAAATATATTTTCAATCTCGCGCAGTGGTTGATCATTAACACTGATAGAAAATCAATTGCCAGTATGACAATCAATTGCATCTAAGAGACATACAATAATATAATTTGCCTAGAGACGCACAATCAATTGCACCTTCATACAATCGTTTATTCAAAATGGTCAATCATTAACGTGAACAGACAAACGTGTGTAGTAATAACAATCAACTAAGGAAAAAGAAATTTCAAAAGTGTTCTATTACAGTGCATTGTAATGTAATGTTT